CAACTCGTCTAACACATTTGCATAGGTTTCTTCTAGTCTGACAAAACACTTGCTCACTTTAATAAATTAATTCCCATAAAGTACATCAGTAAAACATTCTTCCAGTAGAAGAAAAAGAGCTAAAAAGAAAGAAAGGCTAAAGGCTGAGAAATTTGACCTGCAAACACTGCTTGGAGGTTCATTCAGCAACTATTCTACAATATTTGACTAATAAAACCATTCAGTTTTAGAGCTTGGTGCAACATTCTACACTTAAGTGGTTGTATTGAAATACTCACATGAAGTAGTTAAACTGAATTCTCTGGAAATGCTTGCTAGAGAAGATGTCTGCTGAATTTAATGAATTCCTATCCAAATAATGGCATGACTGTAGTGGCACCCAAAGGTCCCAGTTTGACTACAAGCACCACCATTCTAGGAACTGTGTCAATGTTCAGAGGAACTGGAATCCCTATTCAAGGATCTTAGAATCAGTTTCACAGAAAGTAGATGTCTACACATGCTTGGAAACAGAAACACTCCTGCAGGACTCAGGTCACTAGTACACTCAGTGAATTAATCAGCTTCCCCAGCACATTTCACCAAAAGAGCTTTATCTCTGATGTTCCTCAAAGGTCACAGTGCATGCCAAAGTCATATAAACAAACTTGTATATTACTCAAGTTCCAGGCCACCACTGCAGATACTCCAAACAAGTCCTTCATCATCAAGAAAGATTTGTTCAATGAACTACCTTCAACTCCTTTTAAGTTACATTTTTTTGTAGTAGGAACCTCAGCTCTCTGGCTGAAAGAGACACCCTATAGAAACCTTGTTTCTAGACTCCCGGCTCAAGCAAATGACATGAAGTTTATTTCCCTGAGTCACTTCCCTGAATTTATGCCTCTCATACTCTTCCATAGAGAAGGTAGTGCAGGAGTGAGTGACCTGCCTATTCTGCTGTGTTATGTGACACATCCAGAGGCACTAGTGAATGCACATGGTCCTACAGCTTCTCCTAGAAGCAGCATCACTGTTACCAGCTTAACACACTGCCTCAAATACAAAAATCTAAGTGTTGCTAGAAGGCAAAAAGAAGCCACAAAACACCCAACAAACTTCTCTGGCTGGCAAATTTCTCCATAATACAAGAATTCTCGTGGGGAATGTATATAGGAAAGAAGCAGCAGATTATTAGAAGTTGATGGGGTTTAGCTTGCACACATCTAGAGGGAATGATAAAGTCATGCACCAGTCACAATGGATAGAAAAATAAGACCTGTTTATTATTGTCATACAACTATAAAGGAAGTATTCTTATCAGCTGGCAAAGTTTCTAAGGAATACAAATCTATGGAAAAGCCATCCCTAATTGAACCAAGTCTCAGCAATGAGGAGAGAGCATATTAATGAGGCAAGTCTAGGAGGTACGATGAGGAGATAATAATACCCTTAGGAGTTAGACCAGTATTAAATGTGACTTTATTACCATATTATTCTCCTATAAGTCTTTACAGCAAGAATAACTGTTTATACAGATGTTCTTTCAACCACTAGCTATTCTAGATTAAACACACACATGAAGAACCTTGATATTTTAAGATTACAGACCACTAGACTAAATTAGATTTGTTATTTTGCTGTAGTATGCCACTGGGCTTTACAAGGTTGATATATTCTTTCAGTGAAACTGAAACACTTTAACTGAAATGAGATACCACACCTTTAATAATGCAGACTGATGTAGCTCTCTCACAGGGTTTTTCATTCAGTGCCTTTATTTTAATTCCTCTGAGTGCTACTAATAAGGTGCATTTTATCATTAAGAGGGCATTCTTCACTTAAGTAGTACATGCCAAACTAAACTAAAATAATAGACTAGTTTAATGTTACAAGAGGGATGCACGGTTGATATTTATGCAAAATTAAGCAAACCTGAACTCTGGTTTCCTACCCAAAGGGACTCATGATCGAAACTCCACAGAATTCTAAAATCCCACTTTTTGCAACACAGAGAAGAGACCAAATCTATCACTTGAAATACTCTCTTACAAAACACAGATTGTTAAATATATAAGCAGCCTCGGCAGTAGGTCAGAGCTCTGGCCTTTTTCCCTGCTCAGGCAAACACCTCAGTGCTATTGGGTCAGAGTCCCAGGGAGAGGCAAGAGGATTAGTACAAGAATCCACCAAAACGTCAGTGTAATTCAGACCACCCTACACTGCAGCATCCAGATTAAAGTAATGCTGGTAGAGAAAAATGAAGGCTTCTGGCACGCAGAAAACCATTTCTGGTGAAAGGTGACAGACTCAAGGAGTAAAGACAAGACCACTAAGACTCATGGAGCAGTGGGACTAAAGTTCCTTGATCCTTGCAGATCTAAACATTCGTCACTTAATGTCTTGGCTGCCCATCCACAAGAAGAGGAGAACCCTCCCTTTCCAGTCCCACAGAGAAGAAATGTACTGCAGACCACAGGGTGGATTTCTGCAGCCCTACAACAATAGTGACAGCAAAAATCCTCACATGAGGATTTAAACCAGATGAGAATCGAACAGCAAGTCACACAACTTAATCGTTAGAAATAAAAATGCACAGTAAGATGAGAGAGTTTTCAGTCTGTGCATTTCTACTTTAATTTCCTCGCATGGCACTATTTGACAGCCTAAGACAGGTTTTAAGCTGTTTTACACGGCTAACATTCTCATTAGTTTGTCTGCTCCATACTACAGGTTCAATAGCTCTCCTTGAAATCATAACAATTTATTTTATTTTCATTTGAGAGAGATGTAATTTTAAATGGTCAGAAGGAAGTTGGAAGACACAACACACTGGACATTTGCTCACATCTCTAGGCCAGAGACTAAACTGGTGAGAGACAAGTACAGACCCAAGTGAAGCAGATGGACTTAGTAGTCAGACACAGCATGACCCCCATTTCTGCTTTTCATGCAAATTGATAGGGCTTGGCACTACTGAATGTTGATACCTTATCATTTCCTATTTTTAAAATTTTATCTCTTTTTAAGATTGACATTGCTTTTCAATAACTTTGCGCTAGGATATCAAGTTCCTCAAAATTCAGTCAGTTCAAATCATCCAGATTTAGAAGGGTGAACACTGACCAGATTTTTGGAAGAGGTAATAACCCTCATGCTCCAGAGCTTAAGCCAAACTGGGATTAAAAGGAAATACAATGTGTTAGGCAAATTAAGCCGCATTTGCTTCTCTGGCAGCTTCTTCCTTCTTTCTCTTAGTGGGAGCATCAACTCCAGGCACTACTGGAAAGGCAGATGCTTCCTTCTCACACCACAGCCATGGCAATGCTCCAGGCTCCTGACACATTCCCCTCAGGCAAGGGGATGGTTGCAAAACTAACAGTACATTACAGTTCTGTCATTCATGCATCAAGCAGATGATGCTTTAAAAAGTGGAGGAAGCACAAGAAGTTATCGATGGCTTCCCCTGTACACATGGAACTCTTGAGCTTGCATGGAGGACAAAGAACTTAAAGAGCCCTCCTGCTCTGCTCACCAGGGCCTGCATAGCACAAGAGACAGGCATGAGATCTCCTGCCACAGTGAACTGTGGAATAAACTGTCCGAGAGAAAAGTTTCTTCCTGACCCACAAGGTTCTGTTCTAATACCAGAAGACTTTTATTCCCTTAATTATTATCATGCACGGAATGGTTGATGACAGCTTTGTTATCTACAGAGAACTGCTTCACCATTGAGTTTTTGGCTTCATTAGCGTCAGCAGGACTCATGGTCACAAGGTATTTTTATACCATGTGTATGATGGAGTCACGTGCCTCTCTCCTCTGGTCCTCTGTCATAAAGGCTCTACAGAAACTGACAAATTCATCTTCCCAGGACAAATGGTGTTTATGTGCACTTCACTTTTCCAAGCTTCATGTTCACCTTTCCTTGGTACAAAAGCCCTTCTTTTCACATTCATCGTGTTTCCTTTGCCTCTGGTTCTGCACCAGCCAGATTTACATCATGTCGGGGCCAATTCCCTGAAGACTGACACAGCATTACTTTTCCAATTGATCCTGGAGTAAAACATCACAGTCTGAAATTCCCAGGGCTTCACAGAATCTTAGTCACAGCGATTTTTACAACCTTTTGCCTAGTCACTTTCAGAAAAGAGAATCTACTGACGCTTTCTAAAAGCTGCAGATTACATTTAAAGCCCATAGCTGAAATGAGCAGCTACCCTGCTATCTGGGTTTATGCCACCTTCACGCATGTGCTGTACCGGAAATCAGATGGAGAGCTATTTTAAGCTATTGGCACATGCCAAAATATTTAACTATTAAATTTGACCCACCACCTGCCCATCTTTCCGTTTTACGGCGCGAGCAAACAGCAAGCACATCAATTTTTTTTTTCTGCCCTGCTTGAACAGCCAGACTAAATACCTCTCCTTGGTCGGCTGAGGGACGGGAGCAGGGGCAGCAGGGCTGTCCCTGGCCTCGCAGCGGTGACAGCCCGCCCCTCCGCGCACTGCGGAGCGCTACCTGTGCGGCCGCCGCTGCCGCCCGAGGCCGAGGGGAGCCGGCGGGGCCGGGCCGGGCGCTTCCCGGCGGGGCGGGGGTCCCTCGCCGCCCCCGGGAGCCCCGCGGGGGACGGGGAAGCATCCGCGTCCGCTCCACAGCTCCGCGCACCTGCCCGGCTCATGTTTACAGCCGTCCCGTTCATCCCAACGCCGGGGGCGGGGAGGGGAAATGCGATTAGCAGATTAAGTTTGGAAGAGACGGAAGGGGGGCGGGGGCCCATCCAAAGGCGCGCACACTGCGCGGTGGCTCGGTCAGCCCCGACTGCTTTTCCCGCAGTGAAGAAAGCTGGGGAGAGCGGCGGGGAGGCCGGGATAGAGATCCGCGCAGAATATAACCCCCACAGTGCCCGAGGGACAGCGACCGGGGCGGGGGGGAGGGAAGGCAAGGGCACCGGGTTGTCCCGCGGGGTGTCCCCGATGGGGTAGGGCGCCCGCATCCCTGCCATCCCGCGAGCTTACCTCGATCCACTTCTGAGCCTCGGTGAAGGCCAGCTCAGGCTGGGGGGGCTCGGCAGGAGACTGAACCTCCCCCAGCTCCAGCCCAGGACTGGCCATCTGCAGGGCCCCGGCGCGCCGCGGCTGCGGCGGGGGAGAAGCCAGGCACCGAGTCGCCAGCCCGGGCTGAACCGCGGCAGCAGCGATGGAACGCCGGAGGCCGCTGCCCGTCTCTCCCTGCCTCTCCCTGCCTCTCCCTGCTGGCAGCCGGCGGGGCGGGAGCCGGGGGTGGCGGCGCTCCGCAGCCCGGCTGGCTGCAGCTCGCCTGCGGTAACCTCTCTCCGCCGGTGCCCCGTCCGTCCGCCCGCCCTGCCGGCTCGGTCCTCCCTCGCCTGCCGCCCCGCCCGCCCCGCCGGCGGAGGGGAGCTGCGCTGCGCTGTCCTGAGCTGCCAGCTAAAAATAAAACAGACGGGCGAAGCCGCTTTGCCTTCAGCCCATGCAAATGCCCGCGCCGCCGCCTCCCCGCCGCCAGCATCGCATCGCGGGCGGCGCTGCGACCGGGGGGAGGGTGGGCGGGGGACTCGGGCACCCTCGTGGGGGACGGGGACGGTGATGGCAAAGCACTCCCTGCTTGGGGAAGAGCCGCTCCCCTCACCCCACTGCTCCCGGGGAGGGGGGGTACCGATGGCAGAGCACCCCCTGTTTTTGGCAGCCAATCCCCCATCCTCAGCGGTCGGAGGGCACACGGTGAATTGCTGTTTGCGGCTGCTGCCTTAAACACCTCATTAATGGATGTTGCTACGCGGAGCACCCGAGAATCTCCATCCCCGCGGCGGAAAAGCGAGCTGCCCCTCGCCCGTCCCTCACCCACCTGCCGGAGGGCCGGGGGCTCCCGCAGCAGGAGCGGAGCACGGCAGGTGCCTCTGACGGCACTGCGAGCATCTCCTCGGGCTGCTGAGGGGCGACACTGGCCTGGCCAAAACGCGTCAGGGTCAGCACAGGGCCGGACTGCCTTCGTCTTCCTTGAAAAGCAGAGCAGGCATCGAGGTGTGCTTAAAAATATACACCATAGGTGAAAACTTCCCATCTTTCTCTTTAGGCAGAGGAAGAAATCCAGCTCTGTCCTGCAGAGACTTGCATGCCTAACTTACATGGTGTGAGTGGTCCTCACTCAAGCACATAAGGTTAAGCACAGAAGGAAATTTAGTTAGAAATAGAAGGAAACTTTTTTCACCAGGCGTTTTAAAAGACAAATCCTAAAAATCTCCTCTCACAAATGTTCAAAAGATGAGCTATAAGATGAGCTTATACTTATGCAAGCACAGAAAAGTATCTGTGTGCTGGAAATGCAGGTGTGCGAGCCTTAACCCCTACTACTAAGGTTTTTTTTAAAGGGGTCATAACTGGCCACTTCTTCAGCTTGTGATAGGTTTGGCAAGTAGCAGACTGTAGGATCTACTTTTCAAATGGCCTTGGTTTGGGCCTTATTTCCCCTCAGTTCAATAGCTGGGATTTTCAATCTTGTTTATTTTGATAGTCAACGAAAATTACCAACTCAAAAAATATAAATATACCACAAAAGTGCATATATTTAACTCCATTTCCATTCTAGGAATTTGTCTTTATTGTTCGCTACCTTTATTTTCGGTCTTTGTTTGTTGCTTCAAATGTGTTGGAATAACAAAGGGCCTAAAAACAGGATATAAGGTTTATAGGGATTCTTCTGAGAACTGCAACTAGACAAAAACTGGACGAATGAGTAATCTAATCTCAAATATTTAAAGATAAATAATCAGCATATTTTGAAATACTTATGCTAACAATCTATTTTCTGATTCTTGTAATATTTAAATAACATTGATATTTATAAGACAGCAATTAGATTCATTCTCCTGGGGCAGTGAAAGACTAACAATTTAAAATAATTATCCTATCTCTTTTTTTTCTTATTACTGTGCAATATCAAATGCATGATTTTCCTGTCTGGTGATCTCAACATCACTTCTTGGAGAACTAGAAGAGCTGGCTTGGGCTAGGATAAGCACCACACGAACACAGAGCAGCACTCAAGGCAGAGACCACAACCCCAGACCTTGTCTAGAAATGAGGGATGGGCATTCATTTCCCATTTATGCAGTCAATTTTCATGGATCATTAAAGAAAATGTGTTCTGATATACACTTCTATTTATATGCTTACAGTCAAGCATACATAACTTTTAAAATTTATTAAATCCTCACAGCGGCACATGGATATTGAGTTAGTGCAGTCTTTAAAGAGCCCTGTTATGTATTTAGGAGTGTAAAAGACACTCTGACTGGCAGTAGGAATCTGGCCACTTCTTTTCTAATCCTAATCCTGAACCAGCTTCTCATTCGGTCAAGTAGGAGGCAGCATCCCTGCCTCCCTGTTCCCATGGAAACGCACTTCTAGCATCAGCCCAGCTTCTTTTTTTTTTTTTTTTTTAAATCACCATCTGCCTAGGGAGTTGCAGGACTTGCTCTAAGCCCCTTGAATACCAGTCACAGGTTTTTCAATTATTCTCCTTTCCATATTACAACCACCCTGGTAATTACAGAAGACAAAATATGGAAACTAGAGTGTTAGAAACTACAGCAAGGTTTTCCCAAGGTCACTCGGTTGCTCCTAACCAGAAACATTGCTGGAAACTTAGTGGTGGAATTCGTAGCAGCAAAAAGCCAGCAGTTTAACTTATTTTTTCATTCCAGAAAAAACTCAAGCCAGCACTTCAACAATCCTTATCAACTCACTTGTACCTGTATTTACTAAACAGGGGAAAACCTATAAGGGTGCAGGTATCAGTGTCAAACTGCATATCTTTGTCCAGGTTCAGCTGCCCGTCCCAAAAGCAGAGTGTGCCCTTGCATAAGTAAAGTAACTGTAGAAAAATGCATAATAGAGTGGTTATGGGAGAAAGTAGAAATAGAGAAAGAGTGTCTCCTCTGGTTTGCAGGGATCTTTCTGCTGCTGTGCACAATATTCAGCTTATTTTAATTGGTTTGGTCTTCTAACTTGTTTAGTTTTCTCTGCTGGGAAGAGGAGGTCTCCTGTTTCTCTTTGTCTTCAACTAGCATCTAAAATTGTTAAGCTTCTTGAGTAGCAGGAGCAGAGGTTTAATAAGGCCTGACTGCTGTCATGGCAGGCTTGATCTTATCCCATGGCAGAGATGAACAACTTGCTTCAAGGAAGCCATGTCCTGAGCAGCTTCTGCCACTATGATCTGTCTCCCTGAATGAACTGGTCTGGTGCTCAAGACCAAGTTCTCAGCAAAACTACTCCTAGATGGCATCTTTGTGCTCTCACTACTCTTTCTGGTTGTATCAGCCTGACAACAAACCTTTCTCTTCAAAGCAAATTTGTCAAAAATGCTTCTGGCAACATGCATAACCTCCATTTGAAAAACATTTATCTTACCAGAAAGCACTGCACAGAGGAAAAATGGGTGAAACATCCAAGGATCATATACTTCTATTCTATTTTACCTTGCTCATTAATCTTTTCTTTGTGAGCTTTTACGGATGTGCCTTAAACCAGCAAGGCCCCTGGGCTGTTTAAGAAAGGAAGTTATCCTGCTGGCATCAAGGCTTTTCTGTCTCCTTCTCTCCTTCACAATCTGCCACCCCAGGCTGAAATTCTCTGAGCAGTACTTCTTTATTCTCCAGACCATAATGGTGATATTTTGGGATGTTGCTCAGTCCTGGGCCAGATCTCCCATAAATCTGAACCATAAGCATACTCTTCTGGCTAAGTATCTTCCCTGCTTGCTCAAAAACTTCTACATATTTCTTTGGTTTGCTTGTCTTTTCTGTGCCTTTAAGAAATCATTGAATATCATGCAGAGAATTTGAGTCTGTATAGTATTTTTTGTAAGAATTCTGCTTGGAATTCCTTCATTTTCTAAAGCTTAAACCAGGGGTAGGCACACCTAGCACAGCTCTGTTTAACCCCCAGATCATTTCATAGCTGCTGCGTCTGATCTGCCTCGGGCCTCACTGCTGGTGATGCTGTGGGAGCTGGACAGCTCTGGCATGAAGATATTGGTATTAATGCTTCTCAACAGGTATTAACTCTGCCAGAGAGTATTTGGAGATTTTTTAAATTTTTTTTACTGACTACTGATTTGACTTTACTGCCTTTACTGACAAAGGCAGGTTGGGCATTTTCACAGCCTGCCCTGTGTGGAAGGGAGAGTTGAGAGGTGAGTTGAGTGAGCAGATGAGAAGAGCCCTTAAAGCAGCATCTATCAAGGTAGAGGAGGGTGGTGGAGGAGATGGTTACCAGGAGTTTAGAATTCTCTTCCTTGATAAAACTAGATTCAGAGAGAGTTCTACTGTGAATGACATGCAGGCTATGTTGGAGAGAAGGCTGGTAATAATACCCACTTGGAAGCAAGACACAGAAAATCCCTGCTTTTGAAAAATGACTCTTTAAATGAGCTTTAGTTATTTTTATTTCTCATGAAAAATCAATGAATCTGTGACCATGAGAGCATGTTGATTTTTCCCAACCACTCAGACAAATGTTGTGACTTCACATTTTATTTAATCAGGGCATCTGCTGCGGTGTATTTGCAGTGTTCAGCATTTGGCTGACAGCATCTGTTTGTTTATCCCGGCCATGCTGTCTTCTATCACAGTCACTTTCTCTCTGGTACCACTCATTCAGCAACATATTGTCAGGCTTGGCATTGATGTTCTGTGTCATTCTGGGAATTACAGGAGTAGATGGATAGTCTGAATTTGCTCTTTCCTGGGAGAAAATCAGGATTATCCCTTCTCACACCGTTCTGGAAGAAGGTGAAGCTCTTTCGTGAAGCAGTTTTTCTCTATTTTGGACTCCTAAATTGATTTTTGGAAAGTCAATTGTCATCTGGTAGCTGAGCACAATTTGGTATTTTCCTGTTTTTCTGTCTTTGCATTTAATTAATTTTTAGATTTTAAAAGCTGTTGCAAACCTGGGATTGGATATACCACATGTTGCTATTTAATGAGCTATAAGCCTAATGAATCAGAGTGTAGGTGATTCAAAACGAGAGCTCACGTGCATAAAAGCATGTAAATATTCAATGTCATTTACAAGCAGTAATTTTGAGGGGCTTC